TCACTTAAGCAAAGTGAGAACCATTTTTTAATTCTATATAAAATCAACTTAGAATCAGTGAACTAAAAAGTTTAATCTCCCATGTGCAAATGCCTTGCCTTTCTCAAACACCAAAGTTTGATATATAAAATCAATGCAATCACATTGAACCTGGAACCCAAGCTTTCCAGTTTATTAAATTAATCTTCTCCTCAATGGGCATCTGGGTTTAATGCTGTTTTTGTAGTTTTGACACTAGTCAATATAATATGAGTTATCATGTGCAGGTGATTCTAATGATTCTGTCTTGCAATTTTATATTCATCTCTTACTTTATAGTGGCAAAATTCTAGACAGATACTGGAGTTTAATAATGGATAATTCAAACACCTTAGAGTTCAAACTTCAAACTGTTGCCTCCTGAAATCTAAACGGATTTTGACCATATGGGTGGTTGTGAAGGAGGTCGAACAGATTGAAAAAAACTTATCTTTTTTTTTTATCACCAGGGTGTCACGACTAGCTTGCGCGTACGTCAGTAAATCTCTCAGAGCCTTGAAACTGTCAATCGAGTAAGAGCTCAAATAACTATTTTTATTAATGCCTAAGAGGACCAGAAAAAAAAAAAAAAACTAATCATTCATGACCGTTGATGAAGGATTTCTCAAAAAGTTAAAGGATTAGTAATCCTTTTCAGAAATCGAATGACTTCAATCTTATACATACATAGGGGAGGTTAATTTAAAAAAAAAAAAGATAAGTTCTTCTTTACTTTTATCACTTAGAAGCTGTGCGAGATGAAAGTCTCATGCACAATTTTGAATGAGATAAAAAAGTGAAGAATCCTAACGATATAGGTGGTTTGTGAAGGGAATCGGGTCTTGATCATATAAATAATCGCGAGGGATCGAACCTGAAATATTGTGGGAGTAAACCACAGCAGGGGCGGATCTAGAGTATATTCATGGCCCACCTCAAATTTAAAAAAAATATATATATTATATGTAATTTTTTTTTTTTCTTTATGACAATTTCAATTAAAAACATATAATATGATATTATATGCTATTACATTTATTTTGGCCCACTCTAACAAAAATTTCTGGATCCGTTACTGCCACCAGCCTAACAATTTGGCTCATTCTTATAACTAGCCATGACAAATTTGTGCACCAATTTTCTTATTATCAAAGCAATAATTTCTCCACATGTTTATTACATATTTTATATGTGCATGCATGTATATGGTTGAGCTGTTCCATTTGAAGAGACTGTGTCTTTCTTAAGGTCAATGAGCTTGCCTCAATATATACATATCTACCTAAACTAGATTTGCCTTCCTTTTGTTTGGCCTCATCTTGGGGTTTTTTTTGTCTTTCTATTTTATGCTTAATTTATTGATTAAAAATGTACATCACTTTTTGGTGACAAATTAGAAGCATTTGAGAAGCACTTTCGAAAGTGATTACTTACTTTATGTCCAATTCAATCAGGATCCTAATCCTCAACTCTCAGAAATGAAGCTTTACTCATTTAACAATTGATCAACCAAAAGCACTTCTGCAATATAAAAAAGCACTTTTGGTAGCTAGCTTATTCAGCATCCCATTATCCCATTTTGAAGGGTTTATCCACTCAACTCAAAACAAACATAGCAATTCTCTTTTGTTTGATTAGATATCTTATTTTATGGTATTATTGGTGCACATAACACATATATTATCTTCTTGGCCACAAGGCTGCTCATTATTTTCTTTGAAACCCCCATTTCTCAACTCATGAAATCTAAGATAAGGATGCTTTTTGCCCACATAGATCAATTGAGGGACCCTTTTCTCCAAATTCTCTAATTTCTTTTGTTCCTTTGGGAAGTCATGTCCAACTTTCACAATAGGTGTTTATAGTAGTTTTTGAATTTCATGAAGGTTTAGTTGAATGGTCAAGCTTGTGGTTTGCACCCACAAGGTTAGAGGGTTCGAGCCCTCTCATGGGCACCTACATGATCAATGATCGTTGTTTCCCACTTCCCAAAAGTTGTCGGGTGTAAAAGAAATACTTCGAACCAAATTGTTATGAGATAACTCTTTTGAGTTTTGATAATTTATTCTTGAAAACTTTTATAAAGTGTTCTGTGATGTCCAAAGAAAGTGACGTTTGGCAAGAACTTATGAACAACCAAATATATAGTGGGGGCGCCATGAAGAAAAGATCCAAAACTAATAAGTATAAAGTGACAAATGAAGGAGGGAAAAATATCAAAAAAGTTTCTCCAAGAGTAGTACTATGAAATGACATTGCATACGTTAAAAGTTCCCACTACATACAGTAAAAGGTAGCCCTATTGTTCATTCCCATCAACCAAAACTTTGAAAAAGAAAAACAGTTATCATCTTTTATTCATTTTATGTGGTATATTCGCTATTCTGATCCATAATTTGCAAGCTTAAAAAAAAGAACCGAACACGTTTCACTCATGCTATCGATCTTATTTCATTATGCTTATTTCATTATGCTTGAGTCCTCCGTCAATCTCAATTCCAAATCTGCAAGACATTTTGTTGTTCTTACCTAATCTAATACGATGTATTGATGCAAAAAAATCACACCAACTAGAAGTATGCAGGATTCTAGATAAATTTGCGAAGGAATCTGTTTAAGATTCGCGGATTTGGTGTCGGATTGATTGAAAAACAATGATTGAACACAATTACACATAACAAAAGATTTTTTAGAGTTATTTGGATGCTTAGAATGCAAATCTTACGTCCACTATTATATTATTGAGAGTTTATGAGAACAACGAGTTGAGTTACAAAGTTATCTTAAGGATTCCCTCGAGTTGTCTCATCTCTCTGGCTTTATGCAATGAATCTCTGTGTGTGTGTGATAGGTGTTGTGATTCTCGTGCCATATCTCTTAAACATTATACCTATTACAAGTTTGAGTTTAATACAAAATCAATAAAACAAGAAATTGACTTGATCTTCACCCTTTGATATGCGAAGTCTCGATCACATGATATTTTATTTCTCAAGTTGGAATTATCTTCTCCTGATTGGGAGTTATCCTTTCCAGATTAACCGTACTAACACATGAAAATACCTAAAATAAGGGAGCTTTATATTCTAGACGAGTCCCCCGTGGGTCTTGACTCTGACCCAAGAGGTATTTACGACTTTTGTCATCCCTATCAAACTTGATACAGTGGAAAAACCTAACATAAAAGACCTTTGTATTCCATTATCTCATTTCACAAGAGACAAGTTTCCCGTAGGTGTCAACTTCAACCTCGAGTGTCCTTCTGTCATCCCTACCTAAATCTTGATACAATGAAAAAACCTAACATAAGAGAGATCAAGCTTGGGTGCACAGATGAAATAGAATTTAATAAAGCTTCAAAGCTGTTATGGGTCCTGCAATGAGCAAAATAATGTGTGCAGTTTAATAAGTGAGAAAAGAATTAAAGTTATATCAAACACACGCAGCTGGATTCAGCTGGAGTGGGCTCTAATTTTATGGTCATATAATGTCAAGCAGAATTTAATGGAGTTTATGATCTGTGTGCTATGTCTGTCTGCTTTGTTTTTTGAACCATTTCTTTTGCATGTGTCTCCATGTGGTTCATATCTTTGTTAACATAAGTTTTCTAGGCAAAAATTATACGCAATTATACCTTATTTACAACTAATTATATGATACGAATACTTCAGATCGGATCGGATTGGATCAGACACTTACAATTAAGTTGAACGTTATATAACTTTTAGTGAAGATACAGTTTTATTTTCTTAAATCATTGTGTCCACAGTTTGAGATGACTCAACCCTCTTGTCTTTACAAAAAACAGGATAATGACCCACTTGAACAAACGATGGGAAGTTCTTATGTTTTTAGGATAAATAAGACCATCAGTATAAAGGATAATGTTATTCTTATATTGTTATAATCTAGATAATTCATCCTCTTCTAGAATCCAACTTTTGCTATTAGATTGATACGTTTTGACTCAATTGATTGTTAATATTATATTGGATGAATAATAATTATGTTAAATATAGAAGATGAAGAAAATAATTTGAAATATCAAATTTTCTCCCATAAAATTCCTTGGAAATAACGATAAATGAGCTTTAAATGTTGAATATAATGTGTGATATAAATAATTTTCCAATAATTTGATAATTAAATTATAAAATATTAAAGAAAAAATTAATTAATTAATTAATTAATTATTGCATTAAACATGTCACATGTACTTAATTTGACTTTGTAAAAGAAATTACAATTAATAACACTGGTTTAACGGCTGAGATCTTCAAATTCCATTTAACTGTACTGTATCTGTAGATCTCATAGCCGTTAAATTTGTTGACTTTAATCTAATCATGCAGTCAACTATTCAATAAAATAAAATAAAAATAAATAAATTCAAAATAAACAGAATTTGTTATATTCAAAATAAATTTGATTAAAATATAATGTCATTAACATAAGATAATATCAAGGATATTTTAGGTTTTTAACTAATAAGGACCTAAGTGTTACTTTCAGATTTTACTGGACCTAACTGTTCTTGAAGTAAACTTCAAGGAACAAAATTATTTAGCTCAAATTAGTTATTTTATTGAACGGTTTCCATATTAAAAAAAATGAGTGACGATGAGGGTAAAAGTGTAAAAAAGTAAAATGTATTTACGGAGGTTAAAATGGGTAAAGAAGAGAAGATAAAAACTGAAAATACCGGAAGCCAGATCAGACGAGTGAAAAAGTCAGTTAAATAGATTGACTGACAGCTGACGTGGCAGCTCCTCAACAAACTACGATCAAACTTATGACTTTGACAGCGAAATTTCGAACAAGTTACCCAAATTCAAGGGGACAAAAAACAAAACCCAAGTAATAAAAATTAGTAATTAATTAATTAATAATAATTATAATATATTTAAATTTAAAAAAATAAATAATCGAACTTCACGTTCTTGTAATAAAATCTTAATAAATTTTTCTTTTGTTAAAATTCTTACAGAACTACAGAGGGGAGAAGAAGAAGAATACTAAATAATAGCCCTGTCTGCCGGTTCGTAGCCTTTAGTTTTTTTATACCGGGATCCGACCTCGTCCGCACGTCGTCGTCGGACCCGAACCCGAACCCAGTTTCGTCTCTTCTCTCCCTGTGGGGTCGTGAGGGAGGGAGAGACAGAGTGAAATTGAATTTTTTTTTTTTTCGTTTTAGTTGTTTTTCTTTTTTTTTTTTTAATCTAAAAAAAAAAAAAAAAGCAAAAGCTTCAGGTATGTAATTTGCTTTTTAAAAACGTTTCCTTTCTGGTTCATGTTTCTGGGATTTTCTTGAAATTCTTGTTAATGCATGCAATGTAATTTAATTTTTTTTTTTTTACTTTGTACATTTAATGTGGGCCATTTGATTTTTAATTTTAAAAAAAAGTGTAGTTGTGCGCATGTTTATTCCCAATTTTATTTGTTGATTTGTCTTCTTTATAGCTTAGATGTGGACCCGTTTTGAAACTTTCCCATTGTTAGTTTTTATATAAAAAAATGTGAAAACAGAAGCTTCTCTGTTGATGAACAGAGAGTACCTCTCTTCCTTGCTCTTCCTCTTTTTGACTTCAATTTTGTAACTTTTAGGAGACAAAGTTTAAATCTATTCTGGGGGAAAATAAAAAAAAAAATCATTTGTTATAATGATGTTTGTAGTTGCCTGATTGGTTCACTTTCCTTGATGAAAATGATGTTGTAGTTGAAGATTACTGTAAGTTTGAATCCTAATATATTTGCTTCTGTATTGGTTGTTACTTGGTTGCAATTGCATATTAGGTTTCCTTATTGTCATTGGTTGGTTGATCTCAAGCATATTTTGAGGTTTGTTTTATACATGATAATTGTAGGATGATGATTCGAATAGGCGAATTATGCGAAAATGATTTTCGAAACCATCTTGAGAAATGAAACATTGTGTGTGTTTTCATATTGGTTGCAATAGAGCATGATAGATTTGTGAGGTTGGTTGGCATCTCTAATGGAGAATGTGATTTTGTTTGCAGGATTCTGTAGTGAGCTAGTCATAATGGGCATTTGTGCATCAACACCAGTACACAGTATGAAAGTAAGGAGGCGGCGGAGATACCGGTTCTCCAAATGGCACCGGAAAGTTTCCAATTCTGTTGTTGATGCCACCAAGAAAAAGAGTCGTGATTCAGGATCTCGTGTAGCAGATTTCGCTGTTAGTCAGTATGTGCATATGGATGCTGGCAAAAGATCTGAGCTTCCCAATACGACATTCCATCTAAGGCAGTTGCAATGGCACCTTAGTAGAGAACTTGATGCAAATGGTATGTACTTATATTTTGTTCAATATCAATATATAACTCGTCAAATAATCTGTGGCTTACTTTTTCTATTGATAATTTAGAGCATGATTTTTTATTTTTTTTATTTCACAATTGGCAGTATTGACTTGAAGTTTCTTCGCTAAACATATATTTGACCATATAGCTTAATGAAATTTGATTATATTGTTGGTGGTCACAGTAATTTGCCAAGAGGATGCTTGGTTCGACTCAGTCAGTATTCTGGAATCCGATTCAGACGAAGACTACAGTAGTGTGCATGGAGGTAATTAAAATCAGTCTGTTCCCAAATACATTCATACAATGAAGATAAAATCAGCTTTTTTCTCCTTTGTTTCATGAACTTATTGAAGTATTGTTTTATTAGCACCAAAAAAGGTGAACTACTTCATAAATCTGAGTTGTTTCTGGTGGTTTTTTCTTTTTCTTTTTCGCGATAGATGGTTTTCCGATAGTGGGTAATACAATCGGGAACATCTCAGATGGCCAAGTGGTTCAGTACGAAAGTTCTGCGTGCATTATGGACGACGAGGGTCAATATGAAGAGTACCATGAGAGTTATGTAGAAATAGATAGAGGTAAAGCGGACAAATATTTGAGCAAAGATGACCTTTCACGCTTGGGGAAGACTGATGAAATTTGCAGCAATAGGAAGAAAGTATTAGATCATTGTTATGGAAGCTTTAAAGGTCTAATAGATGATAGACATGACTCTGAAGAGAACAACCTGAAATCAGGCTTGGCTCGGGTGGTACCTACTGTAAGTTTCGGTGACAAGAGTTTGAGTTCAGCAATTTCAGGTCCACAGCCTCAAAGAAAGAAATCAGCAGTTTTCAGGCTTTCTTTTAAGAGGAGATCATGTGATGGAGAAGAGACTACTGAACTATGTAAGTATTCAAGTCCTTTCAACTTTTTATGGATTAGGACCCTTTAAACAACTTGCGTATTCAAGGTTTGAATCTTCTTTGGTTATGGACCTGAACCTCAAACTTAGGATTTATCCTCATCATGTTTTAGTGACTATAATATGACAACCAGCTTTGATAAAATATCAAATGTTATGGTATACATGCAGGTGCTTCAAAAAGATTCGTGTATCGACCCAAGGCTGGATTCATAATTCCACGTTGCATGCAAGAGAAGCCATCTCCAGGGTGTTGGTCAGAAATCCCACCATCAACTTTTAAACTCCGTGGCGAGTCATATTTCAAGTATGCAATTGACATAGTTTGATCACCCTTGAATGGATTTCAAGGCATATGCAATCAGTAGATTTTCTGTTTTGTGTTTCTTTGTTACAGTAAGGTTATAATTACCTAATCTACTTTGCAGAGATAAGCGAAAGTCTCCAGCTCCAGATCACTGTCCGTACGTACCAATAGGTGTTGACCTATTTGTCTGCCCAAGAAAGGTAAATCACATTGCACAGCATCTTGAGCTTCCTAATGTGAAAGCAGACGGGAGCGTCCCTCCACTTTTGATTGTAAATATTCAGGTACTTATTTTATATGATTATTCAGTAGTTACTTCTTTGCTTTCTTTTCTTGTATTTCATTTGGTTGATGGCGCTGTCTTGTTGTGTTATCAAACTGTAATTTTGCCAATTAGTATCATATATCTTATCATTTCTTATGTCCCTTGGCAGTTGCCTACTTATCCCGCTGCAATGTTCCTTGGAGATAGCGATGGTGAAGGGATGAGCCTTGTTCTATATTTCAAACTTTCCGAGAACTTTGAGAAAGATATATCTCTCCATTATCAAGAGAGCATCAAGGTAACCTCATTTTAAGCCATCCAGCTAGTTCTGTTTGTTGCTTTGCATAAATGGTTTTAAAACCTCCTGTAGTTCTCAAATTCTTTGTTGGTTTTACCAGCGGATATGTATTTGTTCTTCATAATTTGAAGTAAAAATAGAATTACTAGAGCAACTTGTTAGTTAGTGCTAATTCTAGCATGTAGTATCGTGGATTGGTTGAAAACTTTCACTCAGCCAGGCCGAGGACTCAACAAGGGCTTGTCATTTCTGTATATATTGTCGTTGATGGAAGGAATGTGCATAAAGGCATATCTATACACTGATTTTGCATGAACACAATAGCCAAACTCTATTATCTCAAATTGTTGAGAGAAGACGATATAGCATTTGTTAAGACTTATATATCTAATAGCTTAAGGTTTTCGTCAAGTGCTTTCTCAACAGCATTAAAATATGTAATTTACCCCATGAATTAGCAGATCGGATGTATTTTCATTCTCTGATATATTTATCGGACACATTCTTTAGACAGTTTAGAAGTTCAAATGTAGCAAATGTTGCATCGAGCATTGATATGTGCTTATGGATTTTTTATTTATTGGTTGGCGATTTGTCTTTACTGCAGAAATTGGTCGAGGATGAAATGGAAAGGGTTAAAGGATTTGCAAAAGACTCCGTTGTTCCTTTCAGAGAAAGACTAAAGATTTTGGCTGGATTGATTAATCCTGAGGATCTCAACTTGAGCTCTACCGAAAGGAAACTCATCAATGCTTATAATGAAAAACCAGTCCTTTCTCGCCCTCAGCACAATTTTTACAAGGTAGAACTAGAGCATAAATTCCTTGTTCTCTATTGCCTGCAAATGTTAAGCCTGTGAGAAAGTGGGAAAAGTTACACATCAGTCACTATGAGACTCAAATTTCTTCTTCTCATGCAGGGCCCGAATTACTTCGAGATCGATCTTGACCTTCACCGGTTCAGCTACATATCAAGAAAGGGACTTGACGCATTTCGGGAACGTTTGAAAACTGGAGTACTTGACGTGGGTTTAACCATCCAGGTAACCAAACAGTCTTCATTGCATTTCCATCAATAAGCTCGAGAGTTTCGACTCAACTAATGAACGAACATAAAAGAATAGTAGAAAACTAAACTCATTCTTGACTAACCGTCATTGCCGTTAAACAGGCGCAGAAGCCAGAAGAGCTGCCAGAAAAAGTTCTATGCTGTTTGAGACTTAACAAGATTGATTTTGTTGATCATGGCCAAATTCCCACGCTAATGACAACCATTGATGATGATAGCTAAACTGCAGAGATGAGAATCCCACTCAAAATTACAAGACACACCCTCTATGTAGTTGAAGATGTAGATGTCCATCCATTACATGGTCAAACAAACTTCGTGCAATTTCAAAGCTTTTGTAAATTAGAAAGGGGAAAATCACGACTTTGCTTTAAATAATTAACCTAAAATAACTTAAGATGTTCTTTACTTCTGTTAAGGCAATAAGATATATACTTCTCTGTAGCTTTGTATTTGTACAAAGTTAGTGGTTCCCTCCCTGCCCCTTCATGCCTAAGGAAAATCTCACTCCACCCCCTTTTGGTTTCAGAAACTAACAGCATCATCCCTTCCGACTTCCGAGCTCCGCCGCTTGCTTGTAAACCGTAACTTCATTGTCGAACTTGAAAATGGGGTTGATATTGTTAGTTTTTGAAATCGAAAACAGTGGAAGTAGGCATAATTAACCATTAGATTCATATACAAGTACATAGTGAATCATTATTACATTACTCTGTCTTATTTATTAAGTTTGATTTTTTTTTTT